TTTAAAGTTTTCTTCAATTTGGAAAATTTTACATCTTTGAATGATTTCTTAATTATAACTTGATCAAATGCAATCATCCGTCAAATTTTCTTGAATAATGACTTGTGAAGCTCAAAATTGACCAAAAGTCAAACTTTAACTTTGTGCACTAGTTGACTTTGTATCAGATGAATCGAAATTTGCAATCTTCAAATGATCAAACTTCTTGGGAAATTTAAATCATGTGAATGGAATTCAAAGATGTATTTGAAACCCTTGAGTCATGTCCTAAAGTATGGGATCATGCTCAGATGAAAAAGTCAATTGCAAGCCACTTTTGGTCAAAACCCTAATTGGTGCATCATTTGAACTCGAGGCTTGATGAGGTTGAAATCATGAAATCTTGCACTTGGTTATTGATAATGGGAAACTCTTGATTTTCATGAATGAATGAGAGGCTTGAGAAGTTGAAGATCACACCAATCCCTGACTAATCATCAGTTTGAGCATCTTGAGGCACAACCAAACTTGTAAAGCAAGCAAGCACATATTTTTGTATTTTCAATTGGTTAATGATGCATAAAAAAACAAAAACACACGTGCGCGAGCACAAGCACACACGCGCGCGCGTACGCGCACACATACATGTAATACTAAATGTTATACAAATGATGCAAATGAGGTGGAATCTTAGGGGTAAAAATTAGGGTATGACAAAGCGAACCGAGCACATTGATGTGAGGCTGCATTTCGCCAGAGGGGTAATCGAGCGTGGAGAAGTCCAAGTGCTGAAGGTTTTGACAGATCATAATGATGCTGATATGATCACCAAGATATTGTCCATTTGCAAGTTTTTCCACTGTATGCAGTTGGTAAAGCTGCATGAAGAAAGCTAGTTTATTTCTTGAGGTTATAGCGTTTATTTTAAGGTGGAGATTTGTGAGATATTGGATTGAATTCTAGTATTGTCGATAAAGGTTTAGCATGTCGTCGAAGTCTGCTCACATGTTGTTTGCAAAGACCTACATGTTGTAGTCGAAATATGTTCTAGTATGTAGTTGTCAAATTGGGCATATTTGTCATGTCCAATGGTTTAAGTTAGCTTGTACCCTAAGTTAACTTGTAATGGGTAATTGTTAAAAATCTCATTGGTTTAGTATGTTAGATTTTATTATAAATAGCATACTTGTCTCTCATCTTAAGTGTGGCAAATCCTAATTAGGTGAGAGTGTTATTTATTATTCTTGAGTACTTGTAATTTGATTTAAAGAGAAAGTAAAGAATAACAGTTATGATCAATCCTTGTTGTTGTTCTTGTTTGTTTTTCCTTTAACCCTAACCCTTGTGTGTTTCTTGATCATAAAGAATTGTTTATACTTTGTTTTAAGACATCATTTTTCACAACAACTTCCTAATTCCAACTCAGTTTCTAAAGCAACAGCTAGCTATTATTCTTCAAAGTTCACAGGTTTTATTTGCTTCCACTTTCTCTCAAATATTTGTGTAAAAATAGAGGTTTTATCGGTTCACAAGTCTTATGCAAAATTTCCTATTTTTTAGATTTATACTTATGGGTTTAATTTGTGTATTACAAACTTACAAATTTTCTTATGCAAAATTTCTTCTTTTTGAGATTTATACGTATGGAGTTTAATTTGTGTATTACAAACTTAGATTAATATGTTGTAAAGTATGCTAATTTTATTTTCCTTAAGGTTGGGACAGTTGTGATGAACGCCTTAATTAATGCAAAGAAGGCTGTGAACAAGTCTTCTGCAGAGAAAATTGAAAATATTCCCATATTGTATATTTTCAAGCAATCTCAGGTAATCAGGATGATTTGTTAGTGATTACCATTAGTTATGAGAATTTTTTTAAGCTAATCTAAAATCTACTAATGCTTCAAGCAACTTGTGTTTGGACAATTTTATGTTCTTTATTGTATGACTTTCTGAAGAAAATTGACCGTTTATGTTATCTGCTATCTAATTTCATATTTCTTGAGGTGCTCTTATTTCATTTTATCATTTTAATCTTTTCTTTTGTCTCTTAGAATTTCTTAAGCTTGTCTCTGTGTATTTATATATTGATTTCTATAATGCATATGCATCTGTTTTCTTTATAATTTCACATTTAAATATTAACATTAGCACATATACATACTACAAATATAATAATATATTAGTATTTTTTTGGCAGTGACAACAAAATTTTAAAACTGTAACAGTAGAATAAAAGTGTGAGTAACTGTTACTTTCCAATCCTATTTTTCTAGATCTATCATCGTGAAGATAGTACAAATGCTTACACACTGTCATAAAAATGTGAGTAACTGTTACTTTCCAATCCTATTTTTGCATGGAATATGATTTTGGATGCATATTTGCTTACACACTATCATAAAAATTGAAATAGAAAATTTTTAAAAATAATAATAAATTTAAATTTAAATAGGAATACATGTAGAAGATAAAAGGTAAACAACAACGTCAATGATAATATGATTAAAAAACTATTGAAATTTGTATTAGATAAATTAATTGTTTAAATTTTTTTAACAAATAAAACAATTATGTTATAGGAAAGAATACAATGATCGATAAATTTATATTATTCAGTATTTGCATCAGTAATAAAGTTGATTCAGTTTATAACAATAATATTTATTTCTGTATATAAAAATATTTTAATCAGCAACATATTTTTTCCCGTATATAAATATTATTTTTGTTTTGATATTATTTATAAGGGAAATGCTAACGAGTGCCCTCAGGGCATTGGTTATGAGATTAAAATGATAAGTTGGACATTATTTAAGAGATTGAAAATACATTTTTTTTTCTAAATATATGTGTATTCAATGCTCTGAAAAGAGAAATAATCAGACTTTTTAAAGAATATTGTGTGTATTGAGTGAACTAAATATAACATATTTTCCTTATTTAAAATTTTTAAGTAGTGCCCTGAGGGCACTGATTAGCATGACCCTATTTATAAATATATTTGAATCAATAGTAAAGTTGTTTCCGTTTATAAAAATATTTGAATCAATAGTAAAGTTGTTCCCGTTTATAAAAATATTTGAATCAAAATACTATTTTTATTTTGACATTATTTATAAAAATAATTGAATCAATAATAAAGTTATTTATGTATATAAAAATATTTGAATCAATAATAAAGTCATTCTCGTTTATAACAATAATTGGATCAATAAAATGATAATAATAGTAACAAAAAAATTATGATGAAATTTAAACAACATTTCATTAAGATCTAATGTTTGTGGACGCACATTTGTTTGCAAAAGCTAATAAAAATTGAAAGTTGAAAAAATAACAAATTTAAAAATAATAGTAAATTTAAGTTGAAATAATAATTCGTGTAAAAGAAGAAAGTTAAACAATAATATCAAGAATAATATGATTAATAATAAAAACTATTGAAACTTATATTAGATAAATTAACGTTTTAGTTTTTTTTACAAATAAAGCATTATTTTATAAGAAAGAATACAATTTTAAAATATATACTCAATCTTTTTAAAACTCCCTTTTATTTTTACATATTTAAAAATAATGGTCGATAAATTTTTATTATTCAATATTTAAATCAGTAGTAAAGTTGTTCTCGTTTATTCAATATTTGACTCAATTGTAAAGCTGTCTCCATTTATTAGATATCAAAATTAATTTGTAACAACTATAAACCTGTTATATTAATAATCAATATTAATAAAAAAATCTTAATAAATATTTATTTAACATAATTCAATTAAGGCATAAATATTATTATTTTGTTAATTTGAGAGTAGACATGTTAATATAGTCCATATGGGTAGATACTCATGCGAACCCACTTCAAATTGATGAGGAAAATCTGTTTTGACTAAGTTTGAGTTTAGATTTAAATTTTATTTGTTTATAAAATATGATCATAAACATGATAATTGATCGGATAATGAAAACACTAATACTCGGTCGAATCGTTTTCGAACTCGTTCCATTATTTTATTATGTATTTAATTAATTTATTTTGATAATTTATATGATCAATATTTTGATATTTTAATTTGTATTTTTTATTTAAAATATTTGAAATTTATGTATGAATTTTTTAAAAATTTATTTATTTTATTATTTATAATATAATTTATTTTAAAAAATTAAATATTTTTATAAAAATTGATTTCACATCTAGATATGAACAGATGTGTAACGTAAATATCCAAACCCAATTTGACCCGTTTAAAATGAATTTTAGTTTCAGGGCAGAAGATTGTCTAAAAATTCAAGTTTGGATTCAGTGAGATAAAAATCGTCCCAACCCGACCCGAATGCCTCTTTGAGAGTATAAGTTGACCCGACCCGAATGCCTCTTTGAGAGTGTACTTTGACCCGACCCGAATGCCTGTTCGAGAGTATACTTTGACATATATATCTACAAATATTACCCCAAAAATCAATTAGTATCATATTTAAGCGTCGTTGCAAACTTTTCAAAACCCCAAAAGTCCATGCTTTGTGTGTGCCATTGAATCAAACCCAATATTTCCTCTCTCACTCGCTCACTATCTTCCATCTTCGTCATCTTCACCAACCAATACCAATTGCCTCACAAGGTATATCCAGTTATCCCTTTTTCTTCAATTCAAATTGCTTCACTCTTTCTTCATTACTTTTTTGCGACATTTTCCTAACAATTGGACCGAAATTCCAAGGAAAAATAGGGTTTTTCTTCGTGGGGTTGTGTAAAATTATATGTTTAAAAAAATCACTGCTTTGACTGGTTTTACAGTTTGAGGAATTAATAGCAAGAATTGATGTAGTTTAGTTTATCTTTGTTTTTTTCTTGTTACAGATTTTAATGATAAGTGTTTCTCTTTTGATCCTTTTTTATTTTCTTTTGTGGTGAAGTTTAGGGTTTGGACTGGTTTTGTGTGAAGTGAGGTTTTGGGGTTTTTAGGGTGTTGGTAAAGTAGGTTGTTTGAATTGGATTGGATCATTAATTTGTGAGTTGAAATGAGTGTGGTGGGATTTGACATTGGTAATGAGAACTGTGTCATTGCTGTGGCAAAACACCGGGGGATTGATGTTTTGTTGAACGACGAATCCAAACGGGAAACCCCGGCTATTATATGCTTTGGCGAAAAGCAACGGTTTTTGGGGTCTGCTGGGTCTGCTTCTGCTATGATGCATCCTAAATCGACGATATGTCAGATAAAGAGATTTATAGGCAGGCGGTTTCGTGACCCTGATATGGAAAGGGATCTGAAGATGCTTCCTCTTGAAACTTCTGAGGGACCGGACGGTGGCGTTTTGATTCATTTGAAATACTTGCAGAGGACTCATACATTTACACCGGTTCAAATAATGTCTATGCTCTTTGCTCACTTGAAGACTATGACGGAAAAAGATTTGGAGGCACCCGTCTCGGATTGTGTTATTGGTATCCCGTCATACTTCACCAACTTGCAGAGACGAGCTTATCTTGATGCGGCGAAAATTGCTGGGTTGAAGCCTCTGAGATTGATCCATGATTGTACAGCAACTGCCCTTAGTTATGGAATTTACAAAACGAATTTTCAAAGTGAAGGTTTTACGTATGTTGCATTTATTGACATTGGTCAATGCGATACTCAGGTTTGCATTGCAGCGTTTCAGTTTGGGCAAATGAAGATACTTTCGCATACTTTTGACAGAAGTTTAGGTGGGAGGGACTTTGATGAGGTCCTATTTACTCATTTTGCGGAAAAATTCAAGGAACAATACAGCATTGATGTGTATTCTAATGCCAAGGCATGCATTAGGCTGCGTGCAGCATGTGAGAAATTGAAGAAAGTTTTGAGTGCAAATCCAGAGGCACCGCTAAATATCGAGTGTTTGATGGATGAGAAAGATGTTAAGGGCTTTATCACACGGGAAGAATTTGAGAGTCTTGCATCGGGATTATTGGATAGAATTTCTAAACCTTGCAAACAAGCATTAGTTGAAGCAGGCTTGAATGCAGAGAAGATTGTTTCTGTAGAACTAGTTGGTTCAGGTTCTAGGATTCCAGCAGTAAGTACATTATTAACTTCTCTATTCAAAAGAGAACCCAGCCGAAAGCTGAATGCAAGTGAATGTGTAGCTCGTGGTTGTGCTCTACAGTGTGCTATGCTCAGTCCCGTATACCGTGTGAGAGACTATGAGGTTTGTGTGTTTTTTAAGTCGATTCTTATTCTCTGTTTATTTATATTGCAGATTAGAATCAGTGTTGTTTAGTGGCGGATTTTTTTTGACAACTGCCTTAGGCAATTTGTGAAGGGATTCTCGCCGTGGTGGCGCCAGAGGCCACAATGGCATGCCTATATAGCAGATTTTTGGCCTTTTGCCATCGACAATACTGATTAAAATTGGGTTTATAAATTTGTAGAAATGTAATAATTTTCATATAACCAAGTTGTTGCCTAGGTTTATATCCTTAAAAGGGTTATTTTAATATTTTTAGTCTTGAAATTATCTTCTGTTGTTATTACTCTATTGATGGTGTAAAATAGATTTTTCATTATTTTCGTTTCTGATCAATGTTGCCTCTTTTTGTTATACTGTTCTCATCAAAACTAATGCAATTTGTCATGATTGTTCAGGTCCAGGATATCAGTTCTTTTTCATATGGACTTTCATCAGATGAAGGTCCAATTTCTGTAGGAACAAATCGTGTAATTTTCCCAAAAGGCCAATTGATTCCAAGTACTGCAGTTCTACGACTCCAGCGAACTAGTTTTTTCCATTTGGAAGCTTTCTATCCAAATCAATGTGAACTACCACCTGGAACAAGTCCTGAAATTAGTTCCTTCATGGTATGCTCACTTCAGAACATTTGGCTAATGTGAAAATGTTAAAAAAAAAGCGCATATTTTATCTGTTATATGTTTCTCTTCACTCCCCTCATCGCTAGTAATTGTCCATGTTGTCCTCAAAAGATGATCAAGAAGTACCCAGAGAGTCCTTAAACAATGATATTGTACGAAACAACACATGTACATCAACAAATTTTTTATAGAACAAACAACTTACATAGATGTAGAATCTATAACATATATCAAGGCAAAACTTGGTTTTTGGTGTAGCCTAATTTTCTACCAATTTTACCCTTATTTTAAAATATGTAACTTACACAATAACTTCCATTTGGATTACTACTATCATCTTTTACATAACTTTTTATTAATATCTTTCTACATAATTTCCATTTAAATTAACATTAAATAGAAAAATATTATTTATATTTTTATGTATGTGCATTAAAAAAGCGGATAGACGGGCACACGAGTGCCCGTCTGGACGCTAGTGTCTGTAAAGGAATAAGTTTCGTGAAGTACCACAGGAGTATGGTAGCCATTACGAGTATGGCACCGGTACTTTCTTTATTTTGGAATATCTAGGCTTCATAGGACCTGTTAGGATTGCCTGATTTGAACTTATCTACTAGCATAAGTTTCGTGAAAACTGTTTAGAAGGACTTATCATATGTGTAAACATCTCCAAATATTTTGTCTGATTTCTGTCATATTGGCATCAAGTTAGAAACATTACTTGAATGGATCCGGGGCCATTGCAAGACATCTCACCCTATTTTTAAATTAGGTACTTACAGACTTCCTTACTTTGAGGCCTGTGACTATTGCTTGTTCTGGCAACAAAGAAACCTAATGTTGTATAACTAAATAAGCATAAGAATAAGAGTCAGAATCAGCTTTCAGTAAATATGCACATTCTTTGTTTAAAGAAAGTACTATATGTGATATTAATTCAGTGTGCTTATCTGCATGCATACAGCTTGTTTTATGCTTACACATTTGTTGACTACTTATTTTCAGATCGGTCCTTTGCCCGAATCTCATGGTAGTAAGACAAGAATTAAAGTTCGAGTTCAACTAAATCTGCACGGCATTTTCATTATTGAATCAGCTACAGTAAGTAACAAGTTTCATTTTTCCATTTTGTGTTAAGAATTGAGTTGCGAAAGATCTACTTAACACACGAACTTTTGTACCGCGTCAGTTGATCACAGATCACGCTGATGATGATCCTTCAAATTACGATGCAATGGATGTTGATCCCGTGTCTGAAACATCAGATAGTACCAATTTTGTTGCCAATGGCGCTGAAGATAGTAACAATCAGTCCGATTCTCCACAAAGTTTTGTATGTACTGTCATGTTATTCCATGCGCTGAAGATATGACTCATTTTTATTTTGTTTTAGTAAATGACCGTTTTGCCGTCGTACCATTTTATAGGCTGATTGTTCAAAAAAAGATAAAGCTAACAGAAAGCAGCCTATTCCGGTGAATGAGAGTATCTATGGCGGAATGACAATGGCAGAGATTTGTGAAGCCCATGAAAAAGAACTCCAGTTAGCCCAACAGGATAGAGCTGTGGAGCTAACCAAAGAAAAGAAGAACACTTTGGAATCCTATGTCTATGAGACAAGGAGTAAGGTACATGTTCAAAATCTAAATGAGATGCAATCATGGCTGGTTTTTGTTATTTAGGAATTCAACTTATTTGCATACTTGAATAGCTTCTCAACATGTATCGGAGCTTTGCAAGTGATCAAGAGAGGGACGGCATATCTAGGAGTTTGCAAGAGACTGAGGATTGGCTTTACGAGGACGGTGATGATGAAACCGAACAAGCTTATACTTCAAAACTGGAAGACCTGAAAAAAGTACTTTTTTTTAGCTTATCTATTTTCAATGTTTCCCTTTTTCGTACTTCTTGTTTCTAATCTATTATTTCTATAGCTGGTGGATCCAATTGAGAATCGTTACAAAGACGATGAAGAAAGAGCGCAAGCTATAAAAGAGTTATCAAGTCTCATTTCAGAGATTCACCACTCTGCAGGTTCCTTTCCACCCCAAGATAAAGAACTGGTAAGATATAGAAGACGGCACCATATGTTATTTTTATTGCGATTCTTCTCTTGAGATAAGCTTTTAATTGACTTGTTTATTGTTTCAGATCATCAATGAGAGTAATGAAGCAGAGCAGTGGCTAATAGAGAAAGTGCAACAACAAGATTCTTATCCTAAGAATCGTGACCCAATATTATGGTCGAGTGATATTAAGAGCGTAGCAGAGGATCTAAAACAGTATGATGCTTTCTCTTTCTGTTTTCCTATTTAGTAGTTTATTCTTGTAGTTTTCTGGTTAATATTATTTGATTTGGTTGATAGATTGGATCATTAGAAAAGGAAATAAAATGTGCACTTGATATAAGTAGATACATCAATCTCTAAATTTTAGGAATTTAGAAGTGTCACTGTGTTACTAAATTGTGGATATGAATATAATTCTATGAAGTTGAGAGGTTATCTCTCTAGTAAATCCAAACATTTCGAGCTACTATTAGGGAGAGCCTATGCTCTTTGGCCATGAATCACTCTGGCATACACTGTGTAATCAATCTGGCTACTTTGCATTGCAATGTCCCTCTTTGGTGAAGTTTGTAGGTGTAGAATCCTTATTAAAAATCAATAAACAACTCACAGGTTGTTCAAGGTTGAGACCTTGAGACTTGCCATACAACAACAACAACAACCAAGCCTTATCCCACTAAGTGGAGTCAGTTTCGTGGATCAACTTTTGCCATAATGTTTTATTCTAGGACCATGTTTCTATCTAAATTGTTAATCTCGAAATCTTTTTTAATAACTTATCTTATAGTTTTTTTAGGTCTTTCTTTATCTACTTCTAGTTGTTTGACTCTTCTCCATGTGATCTTCTCTCATTACCACAGTATCTACAAGACTTCTCTCTACATGTCCAAACCACCTAAGTCTATTTTCCACTATCTTTTCAATTATAGGTGCTACCCCGACACTCTTTCTAATATTGTCATTTCTAATCTTATCCTTCATAGTTTTACCACACATTCAAAACAACATCTTCATCTCTGCTACACTTATTTTTTCGTGTTGATTCTTAACCACCCAACATTCTGTCCTTTACAACATATCAAGTCTTACCGTAGTCCGATAAAATTTTCCCTTTATCTTGAGCAGTACCTTTACACGTTGCCTCCAACGTGGTCTTTTGTGAGCGGATTAAGCATACAAAGATTGGTTTGGTTATCATTTAGTCCAAGAAAATAGGGTTCTCTAGAAAAATTATTACCGCAAATCCCTTCAAGGTAACATAGACATATGCAATAGGCGTAATTCATATCATGTTGTCTAATAAATATCTACACGATATGAAATTGAATTGATCTGATATGGAACTTCTTGTTTGTGATCATTCTGAATTATACTGCCTGTGCAAAACATTGATCATATGTTTCTATGAATGTATTCATCGCTATTCTTTGATTTTATATCGAAACTAACTTATGTGCTATGTTGATGGGTTTTCAGAACAGTGCAAAGGATAGCAAGATCCAGGAGGAAAAATTCAGAAGACGATGACAAAGACAAGACGGATACTTCCAATCATTCATGAAGACATTGATGGTTCATCACTGATACCTTCTGACAAATATAGAAAAACAATCTGCATTTTCTTTCATTTCTCATTTTTCGCCTCCTATGCTCGGGATTTGAATTTGAATGGCGCAAATTTAAGTAGATAGAGTTATTAACGATCACTTATTCTTCTGAGTTTTCTAGAGATTTTTTATTTATTTTTATTTTGATGTTTTCAATTATCTTTTCTGATGTGATATAGTATTTTCAAATTGGCACTTGTTTCTGCACTAAAAATTTACTTAAGTTATATGGTTTGTGTTGGTGTGTGTGAAGCTTGTATCTTACGGTAACTATATTTACTCTATGGAATTTATTTATATGTCTGTTTTAATATCAATAAAGTATTAAGTTTTTATTTTCTATTGTATTAATTGTTATTGTTAATATTTATTTTTATTCTTGTGATCAATATGAGAGTAAATTGTGAGTTTTCATATGGTACTTATGATTCTATCTATAAACAAAACAAAAAAAGAAAAGAAAAAGAGGGAGCATGTCCTTACTCGAGTTATTCTCTTGTTGTACTCTCATTTCTAACGTTTGAGAGGTAAAACAACAAAACTTTTCTTACTTTGGTGATGGTTATTAGATGAACAAATTTATAGAAGATATCATCTTTATCTTTTACCATATGATCAAATATGTTGATTTTAGTTTGGAGTTATCAAAGATACCTACTAACAATGTTTGAGGACTCGAGATTAGAGGATAATATTGACAACTTGTGTATCAAAGTTACTCATCATAACGCGTGTGTACAGGATGCACAACATATAAGTACCAAAATAACTATGATCACTCGTGTTAGATAAAACTCGTGATTGGTATTTTTAAATATCACAGTTATATCGAACGTTGTTATGATGAAACAGACATTTAGAACTTTAAGAACTACGGTGAAAAAGCCTTAAAAAAATGAGATAGTGGTTTACTACCGTGTTACCGAACACAACTAAAAAAAAATGAGGTAGTGGTTTACTACCGTCGGGCAGGACCTTCTGCCTGTCCGGGGAACTCCTCGGGCCGTTCTCCACGTGTCTCTCACGCAGGGACACGTCATAACGTAACTACCCACTTCCTGGAGATTCGGTCTTCCTCCTCCCGGATAGTGCGGAACAGTTACCCTAGGGCGAAGACCACATCCTGGTCTTCACGACGCCATGTCAGCCCTAACAGTTACTAACATTGGGTTTGGCAATCCAGCCCAGTGTTAGGTAACCGTTGGTCCTGCGCTGGGGGCTCACTATAAATACCCTCTTCACTAGAGGGTCAGGTAACTTAACTTCTTACTCCCTCTCTGTATTTGCTTCCACTCTGTCCGTTACTTACTTTGGCATCAGAGTGTATTTCAGGTACGCCCCCTCCTCATCCATATCTTCGGTGAGCAGCTAGCAGGTCAACGACGCGTGGCAGTTCATAGCTCCCCTTCTGGTCAGGTACGATCAATGGCACCGTCTGTGGGAAACTAAGCTTCTCTGTTCCTCCGAGCAGAGAACCAAAGCTTCATATCTCAAAACTTCAGGATCATGACTAGCCCACGCCATGACGATGCTGTTCACAACTCCTCCCCCGTCCCCATCACCAACGACGACGGTTAGGTGGGGACATCTCAACTCTGCGAAACCGACGTCAGGGACGGCTAGACTGCCTCCCCTTCCTCTAAGGACGCACCACACCATGTTGTTCCTCGGGCACGGAGCCTGGCAGTATTCTAGCTCATCCCCACTCCGGCCGACGCGGACCCGACGATGGTCGCCCTCTTCGCGGCCATCAACCAGACGAACAAGATGCTATTCCGGAAGAATGAGCGCATTGGCACGCTGGAACACGACACCTCGTCCCGCTCCCCTCCGCGAGGAGATCAGCGCGGGAACTCTCGGATCCCCTCTCCCCAACCAAGGGGGCGCCAACCACAACTGGAGAGGCCCCAACCTGTGGTCTTCAAGAAGCGGACAAGGTCGCCGACCCAGAAGGATAGGCGCTCTCAGGAGCCGAAGACGGGGAGACCCGAGGCCCCGGTCAGGCAACCGAGGGTACGGAACCAACCTCCTCCTCGACACGGGCCCTCACCCCCTCGGTCCCCGATCCTCAGCGACGGGGACGACTACAAGACCCCGTTGTCCCGTGAGATCATGGTGGCTCCCGTCCCTCACGGGATGGAGAAACCACCCGTGCTCTCAACGTGCAACGGCACCTCAGATCCGGACGACCATCTAGAAGACATTGAGGCTATGCTCGACTACCGGAACGTCCGGGGAGCCATTAAGTGCAGGCTTTTTTCGACGAACCTGAGGAAGGGCGCTATGACGTGGTACAAGAGCCTGGAACCGGAGTCCCTCACGTCGTGGATGGTCCTCAATGACCTATTTTTGCGGCACTTCACAGCGTCCAGACGCCATCCAAAGACGGAGGCCGCGCTGGGCGCAATCATCCAGGCCCCCGATGAACCCCTCAAGAACTACATCGAGAGGTTTACGAGGGAGGCGATTTAGGTAACAACTTCAAACGAGATGAAACGTTACCCGATGGAGTAGGGCCTACGCCGAGACTCCAAATTTTACGAGGTTGTGGCCAGACTTCCTCGACAGGGCTCACCATTATATCCGGTTCGAGGAGACGCAGGCCGCCAACACCGCCCGCAACACACGGAACAAAGAAGCCCACCGGGGGTCCCGAGAGGAAGCGACCTCAGAACAATGCCGCGGGGGGGACTGACGACGGGAGGATCGCCCGCGAGAACCCCCGCGAACAACGGGGCCTCGTCGGCCGTTTCACTTAATACACGGCACTAGTCGCTTCCCGCGAGCGCATTCTGGCGGAGCGCGTCAATTCAGAGTTTGTCCGGGGAGGTGTTCGTCTCCCGAAACCGGCACCCACCAAAGCCAACATGGACAAATCTAAATATTGTCGCTTCCACCGAAGTCACGGCCGCGTGATAGAGGACTGCATCCACCTGAAGGATGCAATCGAAATTCTGATCAAAGACGGGCATCTGAAGAGGTACACTTGGGGAGGAGACCAACCACGGCAGGAGGCCTCCGAGGCTAAGCAAGTCGAGGACATCCCTCCTTCCCACGACGACTCTAGCCTATAGGTAGCCCTCACCTTCAGCCGACCAGAGGACTGGTTCGCCCTAAGGGAGTTCAACCTTCCTTCCGAACTCCAGTTACCCGAGGAACCGATACGCCCCACATGCCGGTGGGAATACTTCCCAAGGGCAATGGTCATTTCGGGCGGGACCCAAAGCAAACTCTCGGTGGGACCGGTCAAGTGGAAGTTCGAAGAGCTTATAAGCAACAGCTCCGGCAAGATGAGCACACTTGACAAGTTTCGAGGTCGATCCAATCTGATCACCTTCTACCTCGAGGAGCTCCTAGGGGGAGCCCCTAACTCGAACATTCCCCTTCTGATCCGGGCACAGATGGCCAACTTCAACGTCCGACGCATCCTGGTCGACGGGGGGAGCTCAGTGGATATCATGTACACCCATCTCTTCGCGACGCTTCAGCTCGACGAATCCAACTTGTCCCCCTACCTAGGCTCCGATCTACAGGACTTCAACGGGATGACAACGAGACCATGGGGGTACGTGGAACTCAAGGTCACATTCGGGGAAAAGGAAACGGCCAGGAAAATCATCGTCTGTTTTCTGGTCGCCGAATGCCCGTCTCTATACAACTGCATCCTGGGCAGGACAACGATGGTCGAACTTACCGCAGTGTCATCGTCTGTCCACCTAAAGATGAAGTTCTACACCAGGCTGGAAGCCGTCGTCACCCTCAACGGGGATACCGAAGCTGCTCGTCGGTGCTTCGACGCAGCGATGAAGGGCCTTAGTACAATCGGTCCCACGACCAAAACAACTAAGCCACCCCCCGTTTGGGAGGTCAAACCGAAGGATCACATCGACGCCGTGGACCTCGATTGCCGTTTTGCCAAAGAGTCCGACCACGAGAACAAAGCCAGTGGCACCCCTCCTACCACCAACGGGCATCCTTTCCATCCAACGTGCCCCATCCCAGACGGGGACTTCGAGATCGTGACCCTCGGGGCAAACGCAACGAAGACCGTGAAGATTGAGGCGGGACTACCCGACCTGGCGAGGAAGCAGCTGAAGGTCTGCCTCCGTGAGAATGTCGATCTATTCACCTGGAGCGTCGCAGAGATGCACGGACTCGACCTTGAGGCCGTCTGTCACCAGCTCTCCGTCAACCCGGCCGCTAGGACCGTAGTGCAACGTAGGCGTAGGCAGTCCCCTGAAAAGTCGGCGGCGGCTGAAAAGGCTGTAAAACACCTCCTAGAGGAAAATTTCATTTCGGAAGCTCGGTATTCAACCTGGTTGTCCAATGTTGTACTAGTTAAAAATAATAATGGAAAATAGAGGATGTGCATTAACTACACAGATCTCAATCGGGCATGTCCTAAGAACGCCTACCCCCTCCCTAACATCGACAAGCTCGTCGACAACTCGGCGGACTTCAAACTACTGTTCTTTATGGACGCGTACTCGGGGTACAACCAGATACCCATGGCCGAGGCCGACAAACAGAGCGCGACTTTCATGACCGAGTCGGGAAATTACTACTACAACGTAATGCCCTTCGGCCTAAAAAACACTAACGCCACCTACCAGCGGATGATGAAAAAAGTCTTCCGAGGAGAGATCGACGACATGCTCGAGGTCTACATGGATGACATGATCGCCAAGTCCTACACGAAAGTCGACCACACGACACATCTCAGGAAAGTCTTCGAGACAACGAGGAAGTGCATGATGCGTTTCAATCCGGAGAAGTGCACCTTCGGGTGCGCGCGGGGAAGTTCCTCGGATTCTATCTGACTGAACGTGGGATCGAGGCAAAACCCGGACAAGTGTCGGGCCTTCTCCGAGATCGCGACGCTGAGCTTGAAGAAATCGATACAGTCCCTCAACGGAATGCTCGCGTCGCTTTCCCACTTTGTCGCCAAATCTGC